GGCTTCATTAAGTGCCACTGGGACCCCCTCCAGCAAGTAGAAAACTTTGTTACGCCTGGCCCCCTTCTGAGCCCCCTATGATGCACCAGAAATCTCAATTCTTTTTGCGTCTGCTCAGAATGCAGAGCTAACTGGCCTAAAAAGAGGAAACGTACCAAACACCCCACTCACTTAGGCTTGGCGGTTGGGAGCAGTTAGCCGGGCAGGTATTTCTTCTCTAGCTTCCCATGGGTTCATCTCTCAAAGTTCTCTGACTTTGTACTGTTTGTGATCGGGTTATCGTCTGCTGAGATGTAATTCCTTGGTGCAGTTTTTGTTTTGTTGTTTTTAATTTACTGGGAAATGACTTTTGAGTGAAGCTACTGTCAGTGATTTAAGTATAACTAAATGAACTTGCAGAATTTCACTCTGGTTTCGTTGATTTTTTTTTTTTAATCCGATTTTAAAAAACCAGATTTCATTGCCCCTGTGTGCCCTCTCCCTGAAGAGTGGGGCGTATGGGGAACAGCTTGTGGAGGAGAAGGGAGAAGGGTGCGCCTCCACAGCCACCGCTCGTTCCTTGCACGCGCTAATAGGTGCTTCCCTGTCCGCTCAGCTGCAGGACTCATGCACACGTTCAACGCTCATGCAGCCACCGACATCACCGGCTTTGGGATTTTGGGCCATGCACAGAACCTGGCCAAGCAGCAGAGGAACGAAGTTTCATTTGTGATCCACAACCTCCCTGTCCTGGCCAAGATGGCGGCCGTGAGCAAGGCCTGTGGGAACATGTTTGGCCTCATGCACGGGACCTGCCCGGAGACATCAGGTACACGGATCCAGGGTCCAAATCTGAGGATTTAAACTGGTGAGGCTAACGGGAAGTTCCATGAGAAGGAAGAAGCCGAGTCCATGAGTTTGACCCCACTGTAGGTGAGGTCGGTGTTGATCACCTTGGGCTCCTCAGCCACTAATGCGTTCCCTTTCTCCAGGGCCGCCCTGCATGCGGTCCAGCATCGTGCTTCAGTGCAGGCGGCACTCGGTTTCCATGGGAAGTCAGCTGTGGCACCTAGGGATGATGGCGTTTTCTTCTTGGCGAGAAATGCCTGGCGTCGCTGTCTGACGCATGCGCCCACGTGCTCTGGCTCTGAGGCTGCTTTTTCTCCGCCTCGCTTCCCCCTCTCCTTTCTCCCACTCCTCTGTTTCTCCTACAGTCCCCTTCCCCTTCCAGCTTCTCTGGTACTACTGACCTTCCTCTGTAGCTCAGTAGCTTTCTGTCCTGGCAGAAGAGTGGCATTGTCTGGGGATTTTAAAAATACTTGTGCCTGGACCTGACTTCTGGAAACCTGCAGGGGGAGGACTGGGTGGGGGGGTGGCGCCTTTGAGCCCTTGACATCAGTAATGACGAAATGCTCCCTAGAAGATTCCGGGATGAGCAGGGTGGGGACCACCCAGCCTGGCCTCGTGTCAGTACCTGTAGGACAGCCTTGTGTTTGGAGATGCTGGCCGAGGGAGCTGTGCCTCCTAAAGACCTTACAGAGCACACTTCAGGGCTTCCGTTTTTAGGGCTTTCCCTAGAAGTGAGCTTTGAAGAGCCTCGGACTGCTGCTGTTTCCTCGGTGTTTTGCAAGAAGAATGCCCGGCAAGTGAGTCGGGCAGCTGTTAAATGACTCATGAATAGTACTAGCAAAATTCTGTCTCCTTCAACCAGAAAGCATTGTGTTACACTGTACGAAAGCAAGGATGTATCTGTTTTCCTGGTTGGGTTAGTTCCACTTAGACCTAGAGGAAGTTTCTGTCCTAACTCAGGCTTCTTTTTTGTGCATTTTGTACTTGTACGATTTGGGGGTAGTGATGGATCTAGGTAGGCAGAAGCATACGCTTTTTCATTGGGCCTGTTCTTAAATACGTTAAAAACCCTCTCACTTTCTTTACAAAATGAGGAATCAAATCAAGTTGAATCGTTTTGGGGGTTTTGTTTTTTGTTTTTGTCTTTTCCAAAGAGTGAGGCAATTCCAGTGGAAATAGCATCTCTGTTTTAACGTTTCTTTCAGTGTAACGCAGTAATGGCAGCCATCACTTACGTGACCAAGGCCCCAAACACCTTCACCCCTCAGTTTTACATGGTTGAGAAGCGGGGCCTTTTCTGTTTCAAGTTTAATTCCTTCCTCATTTGTTTGTTTTGATAGTAGGAATTTACGAAGCAAGTGCTCAACTACGCTGCCGATTTATGGATTCGAAAAGGCGGCTTGTACACAGCACGTTGCATGTGTTCTTCACGAGGACCATGAGCAGGGAAACTGCCGAGAGGGGGTCCGCACTAACAAGCTCTCTCTTTCCCTTGCCAGGAGGCCTCCTGATCTGCCTGCCCCGGGAGCAAGCCGCTCGGTTCTGTGCAGAGATCAAGTCCCCCAAATATGGGGAAGGGCACCAGGCATGGATTATTGGGATTGTAGAGAAGGGCAACCGCACGGCCAGGATCATAGACAAACCCCGGATCATTGAAGTCGCCCCGCAGGTGGCCACACAGAACGTGAACCCCACGCCCGGTGCCACCTCCTAATTCAGACATCAAGCACGATTTGCTTTTGTTTTTAAATAGCGTTATTCCTTTATCACCACTTCAATTAAAGACTGTAAACGACAACAATCTCATTGTGTCTACACAGCTGGTGACCTTAGGCCGATTTGTGAGCGGATGCAGTTACTAAAATAAAGTCCATGGCCTTCTTCCTGTTACATTAGCTGGAGATGCAGCTGGGCCGAGAATTATATTGTTATCCAATACTGTTGATTCATTTTGAATCTTTCGACACTTGCCGCATAGGCTCTTTTTAAAGGTGCTTCCACATAGCACAGGCATTACCAAGCGTAGTGTCAACTAGCAGTTTGTGTCTTTTCACGTTGTGTATATTTATCATCCGAAGTCTGGCTTTTTTTTTTTTTTTTAACTGTCTGGAAGGATATTCTGGGAAGACAGCATTGGTAAGCAACACAATGGTATCCCGGTGGTAAGAGGGCTGCATGAGTCCTTTCAGTCTGTGATCTGTAAAGCCTAGACTTTAATCATTCAAAAGCATCTCTCTGAGCCGGGGCGAGACGCACCAGTGCATCAGTCCGCCCGGCCAGTGTTTCGCTGCATGGGAAGCACTGGGAAGACCACACACGAAATTGTGCTGCTTTTTCTGTAGCCTTCCTGATACGTAACAGTAATATCATGAACCGTTTTCTTTACTGATAGGGAAACAAAAGGATACTTTTTGCAATGTAATTAGATGTTCTATAGTACAACAAGGAATTTGCCTCCCAAAAGGGAGCATGTGTATAATACTCATTCACAATCCAAAATATAATTAACTACACGAATCATTTTAAAATTTAATCCATAATAAAGACTGTTCTGTGGATGGTAGTGTTTAATACATTTTATATTTTGTATAGTGATTTCAGGCCCTTGATTTTTTTAAACAGCCGACTGCAACTTAGCCGTCATCTGAGCATTATCTCGTCCTTTGCACCACCCCTTTTCTTTCCTTTTTCTTTTTGTGCACGCTTTTTTGGTGATATGTGTTAAAAATCTGCATTGCCAACATTTGCAGTTCAACCTTGTTATTCAAATAAATATTTAATTTTTTTTATTGCTCTTGTATAATCAGATGCCCCCTTTTTAGTATTATTTTAGAAGCGTCGGGAGGGTTTTGCCTAAAGTACAATTTATTGGGGAAGCTAGATTTTAGTTTTATAAAACTTTTAAGTCTTTCTTGGGACCTATATTTTCTTGAATTAAATTTTGTAGCTCTAGAATAGGCGATCGAAGAAGGTGTTTATCTGTGTTACTTAAAAAAACAGAGGCTTCCTTATATTTCCACCTGCTAAGCACAAGTGCACTGGCTCCCCAGTGCGTCTGCAGCAGAGAAAAAGCACCATGTCTACAAAGCTCCGAATGCTTCCTGCGCCCAGGCAGCTCCGGAGCCCCGTCGCCGCCCCTTGGAAGATGGAGCTCCTGGAAGAGGCTTTAACTGGGACGCCCCACCTTTGCGAAGCCTGCGCAGACTTTACAACACACGTGTAACTGCGACTCAAGCCATACATACCTACACACACAAGAGGCTGCTACGGAACTGAAACTCGTTGGACATTTTATAGGAATTTATACGGTTGTTGATCCTCCAAAGCTACAACCCAGTGGTCTGCAAAATAAAAATGTGTTGGAAACCTCTGAGTAAGATAAACATACTGTTGGGCTTTTGTTCTGAATGCACCCTAAAGATTCTAGTGATCACTAACTCCGAACCCCTTTCTCCAAGGTCATGTTCCAAGTGCTGCTGTTTTCTTGGGTCTACAGAGAAGGGGGCCAAAGGGGCTTATGCCTGAAGGGATCCGTCTGTGGAGGTTTGTGCTTGTGAACAGGCTGTTGGGTTCTTGGTTGTTCATTGTGAAGTTACTCCGATCCACAGTGACCCTTTATAGAGAGGCCCACTGGGTGTCCAGGTCTGGTCACCGGGTCCGTCTGCTAAGACACCTCTGGCCGGGTGGGAGGTCCAAACCTCAAAGTTTGGCTAGTAATCAAATGCTTAATATTTATGCTACTGAGGGCCCCCGGAATCCCTGTAATTCTTGATTCCCGGAGGAAGAAGTTGCCTTTAAAAGCCGCATTATTTCTCTGCTCTCCCACCAGCATTGCGATCACAAAAGGCGGTTCCTAACACAACCCTCTAGTATTTTTGTGTGTGGGGCCCAGCTGGTGTCTGGCCACTGGACGAGAGTGAGGGGTGTTGCAGAAGTAGGAGGGGAAGAAGGGGCTGCATCTATAGTGTTGTCATAGGCATTTCAAGGTGTGCCGTTTGTTTGTTGACACCCACATTTGCATTTGCCCAGCAAAAAGGGGGCCACACATCTGGAAAGTTTTTACATGTGTGTGTTACATAGTCTGAAAACTACATCCCCTTCACCTGTGTGCACATGTTTATGTAGGTGTGTGAATGTGATCCTGTGTTCTTGACCAAATCGAAGAACATTTTAAAATTCAGTGAATAATGAAGAGGCAATTGTTTGCCTTCCTGTTCGCAGTAGAGCTTCATATTTCCATGTGTTCATCTTGGTATACTGATTTATCTTCTTTGAATTCAGAGGAAGCTGCATCCAAAAGACAATGTCAGAATGCATTAGAGTTAAGAGAGCCGGAAGAGGCTGGAGCCTGGTGGGGTAGAGATTTCTTAGGCAACAAGTTACTTGCCAAGGAAAATGGGAATCTTCCCTTGCTTCTTGTACCCTAAAGAGTCTGGTGGTGGGCTGAAGCATTTGTGTGTCGAAAAAGAAATAGAAATGTTGTAGAAGCAATCTCTACTTTTTCTTTCTGGCTCAGAATTTAAAAATCGTATACAGTAGTCTCGTCTGCCCCCCTTATGATGGATAAATGTAAATGTTTACATTTTTACCCTATTACAAATGTATGCGCCAGACAATTTTTAGTCAGAATTTAAAGGCGTTCCTACAGGGTCCCAAATTGTCGTTTTCTGAGAAAGTCGTTGGATAAGCACACTCCGTCGGTCACTGTCCCTGGGTGTCTTGTCATTCCCATGGCCGCCTCCCCTCCTTTCTCTAGGCCATGACTGCTTCCTTGACTGACTTCCAACAGTTAAGTTTTCAGTGCCCTCGAGTTTCTCTGGCTCCTAGTGACCTTCTCTCTGTACAACGGACCCAAACCCAGCCTGGGCCTTTGCGCCCCTCACTTGTTATGCTTGAGCCCATTGTTGAGCCGCTGTCAGTCTATCTTGTTGGGAGTCTGCCTCTTTTTCGCTGCCCCCCTTACTTTAGCAAGCATAATGTCCTCCAGGGACTGGTCCCTCCTGACAACACGTCCGAGGTGTGTGGGACAGTCTTTGCATCCTTGCCTCTAAAGAGCACGCTGGCTGTACTTCTTTCAAGACGCGCTTCTTAGGAAGCCACACACGAATCACACTGCCAGGCCACGATGAAAACATGTCCCAAGGCCTATTTTTAAAGTGAAGTGTCAGAAGAAGGTAAACTTGCCTATCCTTAAGTCTGTCTTGAATGAGCAGAGGGGACTGGACAGATAAGGTCCTCATGAGTGTCTGGACACACTTGAGAATTGTAGGTGGCTCATGTTTGGTTTCGACAATGAACTTGGAGTGGATGGGCCTTGGAGCTGTTCTTGTCATTGATGGACGTTGAGTGACCTGTGTGTGTGTCTGTATGCCAAGGTTTCACAGTGCTAAGTTAGGATGCCCAACTCTGCAACCACAGTCTGATGTCTCCCGTGGCCGCGTTGTCCCACCCACACTTTGTTGCCCTGAGAGCAGGTGTTAGGCTGAGGGGCCTGCACGAAATGAAGGGCGCCACAGCTTCACGGGGAGAAATAGAAAACCCACTACATTAGTGACCTGATGGCAGAGAAACTGCTGCTCTCTGCACCTATTTTAAAAACAAGCATGTGCACACGGGAGTTTATGGGACCCGTACAGTGTTAGGCTGATGCTATACTGTCCCTAGCCCTTAACAGAATTGCCTAAAATTGATATCTAGCGTATAGCCCTGCTTTGGTCTATTTTGGAAAATAAAAATTGCCACAGTTGCACTTTTTTTTTTTTTTTAAATAAAAAGCTAGGTTTTATTTATAGCAGATTGAATGATAACAGTATATGCAGATAGTGGTGGAATAATTTGTGAAAGAATAATGAGAGTTGCATATGAATGTAATTGGTGTCACTGAATTATGCGTAGAGAATCAACTTGAATGTTTTGTATATCTTTTCATACACAATATGTAAGAAATGCTGAAGAAGGATACAAAAGGGGGCTTCCAAAAGTTGATAGAAAAGCTAAATGAAAAGATAACGGAACTTTGTGAGGTTCCCTCATACCTATATATAATTTCCCAAATGTTAGAACAAATCAATTAATCTGAACAATTAAAAAACTTGGAAAATTGAATAACCATCATTCACATGATGCCCGACTAGTAAACCCACTGCCATTAAGGATTTGGGACACCTAAAGCCTTGGTGACATTTGCTTAGCCTAGTTTTTGTGTGAAAAATTTAAACTTGGAAAAAAAGAATGACTTCTAGAAACGTGGAAGTGTTAAGTTGTTGGTGTTTTGCCACATTGCTTTGTGTATGTAGTGTTAATTTATCTAAAACACACACTCCAAACAAAAAAAACAAACCAAATTCAGTGCCAGAGTCGCTGCCAGCTCATAGCAACCCGATAGGACTGCCCCTGTGGGTTTCTGAGACGGAGTAGAAAGCCCCATCTTTCTCCTGCTGAGAGGCTGGTGGTTTTGAATGGCTGGCTTTGCAGATTGCTGCCCAATGTATAACCATTGTGCCACCAGGGCTCCCGTATATAAAACCTGTAGGCTTTGAGCCAATTCTGACTCAGTGGCTCTAGGACAGAGCAGGACTGCCTCTGTGGGGTTCTGAGACTCAACTCTGGGAGTAGAGGTCTTTCTCCCAGCAGGTGGTTTCAAACAGCTGACCTTGTGGTTCACAACCCACTGTGCCACCAGGGCTCCTTAACGCATTTTGGCATGTGGGAAGTAGCTTTTATTGTAAGAATCAGGCAGCAATCTGTCTAGTTCATCTTGATCAGTTCCCCCTTAGCTCTTTGGAGCGAGATGATGACTTCCTTGCACACCCCACTCTGTGGCAGGAATCCTTGCACACCCCACTCTGTGGCCGGAATCAAGGGCTTTAATGGGCCCTCTCGACTACCCATCTCCCCCCGCCAGGCAGGCTCACTTAGGTGGACTTTAGGCTTATGATAAATGTTCCCCACTTACAATATAGCCGAGTAAATTCATAAAACTTTCCCAGCTAGTCTATACCCCAGCTTCTAAGACTCCTTGCATCGTTAACCCTGCTGCGTCTGTTCCCCCAACTTTCCTGAGGAGGGGCCTGGAGGAGTGTTGCCCCAGAGTTGCATCTTTTTTTTTCTTTCTTTTTTTCGGTTATCTAAATCGGTTTTGTTTTTTTTTTCAAAGAATAGTTCACTTTTTATTTAGTAATTTTATTAAATATAAATGCATTTGCTCTCTAAATTTGCTTATTAGTTGGTATTTGATACATAGACCACATCATTCCATATTTCAATCACGTCAAATAGAATGGACAGTTGCTGCCACCATCAGTTTCCAGCCATTCTTTTTCTATGTGGACTCCTTGACATCATCTCCCTTTACCACCCCCACCCCACTGTACCCCCTAAAACCCTAATCTACTTGCTGTCTCTCGGGGTTCAACCCTTTTTTTTTTCTTTTCAGTTTTATTGGCATATAATCCACACATCATACAATTCAATAGTTCAATCATATCAAGAAAAGTTGCACAACCATTACCACAATCAATTTTTAGAACACTTTCATGGTTAAATCGCCTTTAAGATGAGTTGTGTAATCATAATCAGTTCTAGTGCTCCCTCCTCCCTCCCACTAGAATTGCATCTTTTTAAACCCTGCTAACAAACATTAGGTCTCAATGCACACAGTGCCTTATTGTGCGGTTGAGAGAGGCCGGCAGGGAGAGGAGTCAAGAAAATTGTGGTGACCCAGCTGGCCCAGAGGACCGACTTCTCACAGTGACCTGGGGAAATAGTCACCGTATAATGCTGAACTGAAAGAACTATTTGTAGGTAGTATCTCAATTTTTTAACTGAAAAAGAAATGGCCTATCGGCATGTGCTGCGTAATGTCCAGTTGGGCAACCACTGAGAACAGACATCTGCAGAGCAGGGAGCAGGGCTCGCTGGGAAAGGCACAGGAGGTAAGGCTGGCATCAAGTAGGCGAGTTGACAGTAGCAAGCACTGCTGCCAATCCTGCTATGGCAGAGGCCTCCGCCCCCAAGCAGCAAGCAGTGTGACTTGCGGCCCCCCACAGCTGCTGCAGCTGGTCTCCAGCCTGGCTCCCCTACAGGCCTGCAGTGAGACCCCGGCTTCCACTCTTCTACTCCAGGAGTCCACCTCACCCAGAGACACAATTGCAGGCACACGTTTGCAAACCCTGAGGTTCTGGGTGCAGAAATCCAGTGCAGCTTGTGTGGGAGTTACTTTGGTAGTTGTGTATTGAATATGTACAAACACTACATGTAATAGGGTATCTATGTACAATGTCCCAATCACAATTGTAGGCATTAAACAATGCTGTGTACTGTCCACAGAATAAAGAAAATGCCAAGAAATGCTATCCGTTGTCCTTAGGTAGT